CATGTATGTTTGTGTGCATATTGTGCAAGCCAAGAAGCTGCGTTAGCAGATACTCGCCAATATTAGATCCAGCCAAGTCCAAACGCATGCCACGGGATGTGTTTCTGATGCTTTAAAGGGACTATCCCACCTTTAACATGGGGTTTGAGTTGAGATAGCCAAGTTTGCGGCGATGTTCAGAAACCACTATCTATCTAGGTTGCAACCCCCGCGGCCTCTTGGTGTTGAAGAAATTCGTTCCCTTCATTTGAAAATGTGCCTTGTGCAAGGCCCTATCTTCAACATGGAGCGACCGTTAGTGTGACGTCACCTCGTTTAGTCATTCTGATTTAAATGGGTTTGTTCGTTGAAAAATCGCTTAAAACTTGGTCTGAACTTTGTTGTGGTGCCTACAGAGTAAAAAGAATCAGCTTTATGACAGTAATGTGGCCTGGGGAAGGAGGTAATTTTGGGCTGTGACGTCACATATTTGAAAGTTTGTGTTTGGAATATGGGAAGCCTAAGATGTTTAATGAAAAATAAATGCCAGAACCGTGTTCCTGGTCATCCAATCTATAAAGTCGGGCACAATTTCACTGGTTTTAACAACATTTTAGAAGGTGGGATAGTCCCTTTAACAATATTTATCGTTCGAGGGCGGATACAATTGTAACAATACAAAAAAACATTTTTGCACAGCTCAATTCGTTGAATAATTCCTTACAACGCCTTATTCCTAGTTAAGCGAATTAGTCCACCCTGGTTGAATAAACAAGGCGATTTCGCCAACAGGTCGCGAAAACCGACGGAAAATGCCGGGCTCAACGTTAATATACGAGTATATTAACACATGGTTTCCCGTGTGTAAATGGTTTTAACGCACGACGTGGATGGATTGGAGCACTGAAACGAGTGCATTAACGCACAAGTGCTCCATTCCATCCACGAGTGCGTGAAAACCGGTTATGCACAGAAACCATGTGTTAAACTAATTAATACATGCTTAACGGTGCGAATTTAAATTAAAGTAAACTTCATGCATGACACTAAATGGGCCTTTTGTGGGAATTCTTAGAATAAAGTCAATGACCCTTCCGAAAAACTTCAGTCGAGAAATTCATCAATGCACGCGCGTGCACCAATTTAAATTGGTGCACGGCTACCTTCGAATTAACGCACGGCTAATCTCCAGTGAACGCACCGTAAAGTATGTATTAATTTGGGCATGTAGACTCTTAACCCGCGTCCCGTTGGGCTCGCCGAGCAACGCACCCTGTTGGAGGGGGGGGGGGGGGCATTTGGCCCCACCTAAGATCTCGAGAACCACGCAACCTAGCGACAAGCGGCAAACGGTGTTGGATAGCCCCATCAGGGAACTACTACCTTGTGACCTAATTTCATTGACCTAGGTCAAACTGATGACGTCACAGGTCAGTTCAAAGGTCGAATTTTCACCGTTTACAGACATTTCAAGAAATGCGTTGTAAAATCGAGTAAGATACATTTCATTGAAAATCATCGATGGGGAAATGTTCTTCAAACACATATTTTGCTATTTGAGGTCACTGATACCAGGTCAGGTCACTGAGGGTCACAATATGAATTCAATTCAATTCAATTCATGTATTCACGTTAATTCCGCGCACGCGGCTTTTCACTAACGCATGTCAGCAGATAAAAAGATGGACGGATGAAGTAAACACACACTCATACATGCATAAAACAGTCCAGTCTATCGCTGATCATGCAGTAAATAACGAGTCACTGCCGTCTTTAAACGAGTCCGCCCGTCATACGTTGCGATAAAATCGTTGTACGAGTTGACACCGCTGTGCACCAGCTGTCTGCGGCCTGCCTCTGTTCGAACGCGTGGTAGTCACAAACGACCAGAATGACGAGTGCCGTGACCATGGTCGAGGGTCTCGAGCGTACAAGCGACACTGGTTGGCTGACTAGACACTATCACTCTATGCACGCTACATATCCGATGGTACATGGCCAGATTTGCTGCGCTTAGCCAGTTCAGATCGCGAAGTATGTCGGTCACATGGCTGTACTTTCGGCGACCACTAATAACGCGCGCACAAAAATTGAGTACTTTCTGTATACGGCTGAGCTCAGTGGTGCCGCATGTCCCGTAGATGGCTATGCAATAGCGCACCACGAACACGACAAGTGAGATGACAATCGGTTTGAGCGAGTTGGGCGGCAGCACATGTCTGGCGTGACTGAGTGCGAGTAGTGATCCTGTGCACTTGGACACTACGTGTGTGACATGTTCATGGTATGACAGGTGTTTGTCCATCACAAGTCCCAGGTTTCTGACGGTCGCCGACTCACAAACAGTAGCACCGGCAAACCTAATGCTGATGGGCTGCAGGCCTCTCAGCATCTGGCGCGTACCGAGTACAATCATCTGCGATTTGGATGCATTCACTTTCATGTCATATTCGTGCAAAACCACGTAAACAGGTCAGACAGTGCCTCCTCCATTCTCGAGATCAGAGAAGTCAGATCGTCCTTCCTTCCAGATATCAGCAGCTGAGTGTCATCAGCGTATTGTACTATAGTAACGTCACTCATGTACAAGCACAGATCGTTCGCAAAAATTGAAAACAAGAGACAACTGAGCGAACCGCCTTGGAATACGCCTGTCGTGATCGGTAATGACTGTGAGAGACTAAAAGAGCCGTCGCTGTTCCGCACTTTGACTTGTTGGGAATGCCCCTGGAGATAATGCCGAAACCAGGTTGTGTCGATGTTGTACAAATGTAGCTTGTTGAGTATCTTATCGTGGCTAATGACGTCAAAACGTTTTGAAAGATCGATGAGTACAAGAATTGACACTTCTCCGTTGTCCATGGCCCTATATACTTTGTCCGTGATTACTGTCAGCGCCGTCTCGGTGGAGCGGCCGCGCCGGTAGCCGTGCTGCGCGTCAGTGAACAGCTGGTGCTGGTTGAAATACTCGGTCACCTGACACTGCACCACGTGCTCGACAACTTTCATGACACTGGGCAACATGGAGATGGGCCTGGTGTTTGACGGCTGTGAGCTGTCAGCACCCTTCGGAATGGCAGTGACCAAAGCATGTTTCCAGCTCGCTGGTACTAAGCCGGTTTCCAGTGAACAGTTAATGGTATCTAACAGCAGGTGTCCTAGTCCATGAAAGAATTTTTTGAACATGTTGACACTGACGTCATCAAGCCCTACGAAAGACGAATTTTTCATATCACGGATGAGGCGGTACAAGTATTCGTATGTGATAGACTGCAGTCGGAATGCACACGTGATCACTCGAGGGATCCTGACTGGCAGGGCCGTCTGAGGGACAGGGACACTGGCTACCGTACTGGGGCCCACACCCACATGTTGAGCACGTCCGGCGTGCAAGCCGGTGTGGCCGTAGCGGCTCCTCTACCCGTTCCGATAACAGGTCGCAACATTGTCCACATCTTCGCCGGTCCTGCTTCGCACAGCTGGTCAGCATAGTAATTAGCGTGATCGTGCCTGATAGCAGCACGGCACTGTCTGTTCACCGCTTTATACTCGGCACGGCTGCCGGCCGCCGGGCTGAGTAGGGCGCGGTGCCGCGCTAGCAGTTCCCGAGTGGCGTCCGTGATACGTGGCGCGCTCGGCGGTGGAAGCCGCACGCGCCGGCGGGGCGCCGCACTGTCCAGTAGTGGTGCAAACACCGCGAGAAATGCAGCCCACTTGGTGTCGGGAGAGTCGGCACGGTACACGCCGGACCAGTCACTCATGGAGAGCGTCAAGTTGAATGCCGCGTCATCGATCCGTGACAAGGGCCGACATTCCACGCTGGCGCCGCGGCGGCTGATGGTCCCGACTTGGCGGAGAAAATATGTGATGCATGTATTATGGTCCATTTTATATGCCAAATACGATTATGTGGGTCAGGCAGCCTTTGGGGCCAGTTAAGATTATGTTCTGGTGAAGGTCAGGTGAAGGTCAGTTCAAATTAGGTCAAATTTCAACGTTGATATTTTTGCATAAAACGGGTATCGATTCGATGCAGCTCGTCACGGGGAGTTCAATGGTGGTCTTTGTTTTGCCCTACGTGGTCTAGAATCGCTAAACATTAAGTTCAAAATTTGACGTCATCATTTTTGAACAGTTTTTTTTCGCTATAACTTGAACAAAAAACGAGATATCGATCTGAAGTTTGTATGTATATAGAACAGCGCAGGGACTATCACATATATTCCGGTTTTTTCGAACTCCGGAAATCTTTTGGATTTTTTTTTAGTTTTAAATCATTTTTTTAATTTTGTTTTGGGTCAAAAACCCAAAATTTTGAAAATCCGAGTTAGCAGTTTTGTAGCGCCGCTTTTTGTCTGCATGACCATATAAAAAAAAACTTTGAAATTGCTTGGTAACTGTAGATTTGGTGAGCGTTTCAAGATTGCATGTTTTTTGCTCATTTTCGCCCGAACATGACCTCAGTTTGACCTCAATAACTCCTGACCTTAGGTGACCTAAGACTTGAAATTTCGTGTGAAGGTGTCAAATTGATGCCCGGGAAGGTACTGAAAATTTGGCGGCGCTGCGCGCCGCCGTTTTCTTGCTATTCAGAAAAAAACCACAGGGGGGGGGGGCAAATTGCCCCCCCCAACGGGGCGAGGGTTAAAAACTCGCATTGGGCGGATAGAGTTTCCCAGGTATTGGCTCCAAAACAACGTATTCGGCTCCCGAATACGTCCAAGTGATCCGCCTCGTTCCTTGTTAAGCTCTAATTAGATCAAGTGACTCATAAGGAGCGAAAAAGTGACAAAAAGCATGAATTTCCCTACGGCGGCGGGCTGCCGGGCTGCCAGATGGCGACCGGCTATTCCCACTTTTGACACACCATGATATCAATGTCGACTTTGTGAGAGCATAAGAGTAAAGAGTTAGCCGACTGTTGTGGATGCTAGTTGATGCCTGCGAGTTGCCGCGATGTCCCGGCCGGCGCGGCTTGTCGCAGCCCACTCTGACACCACCTTATTCTTTCCCCTTCGCAGACCAAGAAGTTTGCTGACGTCATCATTCCGCGTGGTGCTGACAATACGGGTGAGTGGACGGCGACGCGGCCCGACCACATTCCGTCCCTATACCTAGGTCATGTTCTTCACAGTTCACAAAAAGGTCGGAGAGGCTGACGTAACTTAACGTTTCCATTGTGGTCAGTTGGAGCTGATAAGTATCATAAATTACTAAAATGCACTTATCTAATAGTTACGCACAGTTAACTGCAACAGCGTACCCTGAAACACCAGAAAACTGAAGCTAAAACACCACCGGACAGCATAAACAACCACGCCGTTAACTCTTCGACCTATTATAGCAGGCGTCGCAGGTGCTGCCACATATACTGCCTTGATGCCGGCGACTCACGAAACGTCACCTGATTCTGCAGTTTTTGAGATATTTACGAGACTTCCCGCTATTAGTCTTATCAAAATCTCGATTAAACAAAACATGATCTAACCTGACCCAGGGGTGGATTATTGTGTTTTTTATTGAGGTTGCACAGCCCTGAAAGGGCGCCCATAGTGGTTCCGAGGGGCGCAATGGTGCGTAAGTGGGCGCCACCAGGGGCGGCCATAAACCTGGCGGGGGGGGGGCAAATTGGCAAAGGGGCCCCTGTAGACCCTTACGGGTGGGGGGGGGGGGCGGTGTGTTAGCTTAAGCCGCGTTCCGCGGGGGGGGGGCGAATATCCCCCCAGAGATTTTTCGTACTAACATGGCGGAAAACTTCTGTAACCAGTATCAGACCCTTGTGTAAAAGGGCCCTGACACTTGCACGATTTTGTGGCACGCATTGGCACGAATCGAATCGTGCCCGTGCGCAAACTAGTCGTGAACTGACGTGAAGTGTGCGTTAACTCGTCGTGACTTCGTGCAATGTTGGGGCAAAAACTTTGAAATGTTCAAAGTTTTGATCACGACAAAATTTCGCGACCAGAGGCCAGTTTTACCAAAAAATTTCAGCCGGCCGCCGAAATAAAATATCCAGCCGAAAAAATAGCCGCCACACAGCCACGAGTTTCACCAACAAAAAATTCCAGCCGACTTCGGCCGGAAATATTTGGGGCCGGCAGTCAGCTGATATTTTAATATCGATAATGGTCAAGGAGATTGATAAATTATTTAAAACATTTTTTAATTAAATATAAGCGTGTTTTTCAATGCAACTATCACATATATTTAGAAATATTATTATTGGAAAACATTATATATATATATTTTTAAGAGTTGTAACCACAAAATAGATCATTATAAACTTGCCAATACAAGACCACTAAATTGTAAACCAATGTCATTTATGATGATGACGATAGGAAGCGTGCGTTTAAGTGGATCTTTTTTTCCTGTCAGCCTATTATATTTCATTTTTACAATACCTTCAACTTGCAATTTACCTTTTTGTCTGCTTTTAGTCGCACCTTGTAGAAAATCATCGTGTCGAACGTGCACGCAATGTATGGACCCCCACTCCCACCTTATATGAGGTGGGGACTATAATAGATGGGACCCGCTCCCGGCGGATCCGGGAGTCGCACCTCTTTCCTAGATGTCAAAGAGTGGGGAAGAAGCGGCAAACATTGTTCCCAGAGGCGCCACCTGAAGCTGGACGGACAGTTCCGCTGCCGAGCGAATGAACTGCGGTGCTGCGAGGCGGCTTCGCGCGCACTGCATTAGCACCTACTTCTAGGACTAAGAGGGCTAAGAACTCGCCAAGGCCTATATAAAGCCTTGTGCCAAGGCGAGTGTCTTACCTTAGGAAGATACCTACCTAGATTAACAGCACCGCGGTCATTGCAGGGCTGAGGGCGGTCGTTCGCCCCAGTTCGGCGCGGTGGAGGTCATGCTGCCCGGCTAGGTGGTTTCAGCCGATATGCAGGCCCCGTTTGCCGGGCCCGGTCGAGACGAAGGAACGCCACACAGCAAACAACATAAGCTCCGGCCTCGCTACACTGGTCCGGCTCGTAACAATACCTGCGCTAGCTTCGTCGACCGTCGTTCGACTGCGCCCAGTACCGCTCAGTGGAGAGTCGAACTCCTCCGCGTGTGCCGAGATCATTCGTTGCGCGCGGACACAATCGTCCGACGGAGACCGCTCTACATGATGATCGCGAGGTGACCACCTTTTCGCCGGCTTCCACGCCCAGCCGAGCCGTCTGGCTACGCCCCAAATGATCGTTCTAAGCCTTTCGACTGGTTTGCAAAACTCGGGTCTAATATCGAAGTATTTGGGAGTTAGGACACGTTAAATCCGTGTTCATGAACAAATATACATTATGCAACTAAAACGCCTTACTTACTTTAACTTTTTTAGGCTGATAACAAGGTAAACACTTATTCATTGTAATATTTCTAAAATGTAAATAAATCATGAGCGATGAGCATAAAAAGGTGAAAAGAACACGGCGTCTCCCGCACCCGGCCGTCCGCCTTGCCCGCCTGCGCCATCAGCCGCTGGAAATGGCTGCGCTGCCGCTCAAACATTAGCGTGACCGCCTGGCCGGCCCGGCTGACGCGCGCCGTCCGACGCACGCAGTGTGTCTTCAACAGCGCCGGGATGTCGTACGACACGACCGCGTCCACGGCGTCCACGTCAATACCGCGCGCCATAGCCTCGAGCACACCAGCGCGGCCATCTCAGCTAGCGCGCGCCGCCGCTGGCCCGCCGGCACTGCCCCAGGGAACTCAGCCTCGCGCGCGCCCAGCACCGACAGCGGTAGCTCTAGCCGGTGCGCCGCCTCCTTCGAGTTGACCAACACGAGCGTGCGCCGCCAGTCGGGCTGTCGGAGCAGGTGGTGCATCAGCAGCGGCTTCAGCGGCTGCGGCGCCACCACGCTGAACGACTCGCTCAGCTCGGCCGGCGTGGTGAACCTGCCGACGAACTGACCGGGCAGTGCGGCGGCGGCCGCCGGGCCGGCCACCAGCAGCCGCGACAAGAACAGCGACAGTCGCTCCAGCTTCTCCGGGTCCCGTGACCCGGGCCAAGAACGACAGCTTCTGCAGCGGCAGGTGGGGCGCGCAGACGGCGGCGGCCGTCAGCCGGCCGGCGATGCAGCCGCTCCACCGCTTTCAGCCAGCCCGTCTCGGCCAGCTCGATCACCCGGTCGGCTTCGTCGATCACCAGGTAGCGCAGGTGCGCCAGCGAGAAGCCCTCGGCGCTGGTAATGTGATCCATCAGCTAGCCGGGAGCGCTCACCACGATCAGCCAGGGAGAGTGGGCCGCGCGGCCCCACCGCCACCAGTTGGTGCCCCCTCGTGCCACTGTGTCTCCACCCAGCAGCCTGACGCAGAGCGGCGTGTCGGCGTCGTACTGGCGGAACACGGCGGGCACCTGAGCGGGCAGCGCCTGTGTGGGTAGCACAGCTAGCGCGCGCACCCGGCGGCCGGCGCACCGCGGCGCCGCGCCTGCACCAGCGGCAGCACGAACGGCAGTGTCTTACCGCGGCCGGCCGGCGCCGAGACGTAGAGGTCGGCTGGTGGCAGCGGCAACTCTGCGGCCGCCAGCAGCTCGGGCAGCACGGTCACCTGCACCAGGAACAACCGTTCGATGCCCTCGGCGGCCAGCCGGGCGCGCAGCTCACGGCAGAGCGCTGGCAGATTGGCCGGCGCCGGCCGCCGGTCGCCAATCGGCTGCGGGTGCGCCAGCCAGTCGGGCAGCGCACGCGGTGCACGGCCCGTCGGCTCGAGCGCTCCACCTCGTCCAGCACGGTGAAGTCGTCAGCGGCGGCGTCTCCGTCCGACTCGGAGGTGTCCTCACTGTCGTTATTGGCGACGGCGGCTGCCGCTGTGCGCTCAGTCAGGTCGGCCATCACAGCAACACTCGCCGATGATTGGCGTCATCGAAACCGTCGGACGACGGTGGATTCACCACCGTTTTTGCAACTTCGGCCCATGATCCTCTTTGTGCAGAAATTTCAGCGCTGAGGTGAACAAGTAACATTTCGGCCGCAATTTGCCTGGTGCCTCCACAATTTTGCAAAACTAAACTCACAATACTAACAGCCAGTTTTAACATGATCCCTGCATGACTCATGCATGCAAGATACACATGCATTCAATATCAGCACAGTGCACACACAACAGTTATGGATTCATTTGCATTTTACAACATTACTATTATTTTCTTTTCCTTCAATATTGGCAGCATGCTGCATGACTTGCTGGGTTCAGTGGCACAATCTTATGACAGCAAGTTTGTTCGGGTTCGCAACCATGCAAACTTTGCATGTTTTGCTTCAAAAACAAGCCTTTATACATTTCTTTCATGCTATTCAATTTCTTTTTTTTTAAGTTATTGTCATTTATCTTGAAAATCTTGCCATTTTAGTCTTAGCAATGTCAATGCACCTTCCCTATTCCGCACAGCTCAAGTAAGTTCCACCCAAAAGTAGTAGTGGTATCAGTAGCTGGCGCCTTGAAATGTCAAATGTAGCTGAATGTGTGAAAACAGTGACATATTTAAAATCTTGAGTCCAATGAGCCTACCCTCTCTGCCTCTCCTTCCAGCATTTCTTCAAGCACCTTCGATTTTCGAAAATGACCTTCCATCATTATTTTCCACTCCGTGCGAGCAATGAACTTGTAAGCTGACCACTAGTTAACCCGCGCCCCAGTGGCGGTCTCAGCCAACTTCGCCCTAGTGGGGGGGGGGGCATATGTTACCACCCACCTCTAACTCAAAAGCTAAGAGGGCTAGAAAGACGCGGTAAAGAGCAGTCGATAGCTCTCAATCCGTACGTTTGAAAGTATTTCAGTCATTTTTCATCTTAGAGCAATATTGGGGTCACCAGAGGTCATCAAAGGTCAAATTTTGCCAATTATCATTATATTTTTCAGAAAACGTGCCGTTATCTCAGGAACTATGGTAGCTAGAAAAACGCTTGGAAGAGCAATCGATAGCTTTGAACTCTTCTTTTGATAAGGTCATTATCAAAATTGACCTAAGGTCAACGGTTTAGCCTCCAGAGGGCAAAAACTCCAAAAATAGCTGTTTTTACGAAAAGTGTTTTTCGACAATAACTTTCGACTGCAAAAAGCTACGACAT